GGGGACTTACCTTGATAGCGTGGTAGGAGAGAGACCGGATCTTGTTGCCGCTAAGGTCAAGGTTGGAGGACATGAGCAGCAGGTGTCCGGGGAAGTTGGCGAGTTTGTTGTCGGAGAGGTCGATGTGGGACACCCAGTGCTTGTCCTGGGGCCGGACGTTGAAGGCTGGGACTTTGGTCACCTGTCCCCCGGGAGAGATGAGAGAAAAGGGATTGGATAAAGGTGACGTATGGATGGGGTGTATGTATATATTATCATTTTTATTGCGCATTTTCACTTCAGGCGCTGCTCGGTGGCGACGAGGCTCGTACAGACACTCCAAAGGTCTTGTAATCAAGTTCCTGCCTGTGGTTGAATGATGCATCTGATCTGATATGTACATTTTGTCAGGTTTACTTCTCTTTTCATGTTGAATTTTAATGACAGTAATATATAATTTAGATTTTTTATGTATACCTGCATGTGTTTTTACGGCCCTGTACAGCCAATAAAAATGTCCCTCTGGGATAATAAAGTATTATCTTATCTTATCGTATCTCTTATCTCATATTCCTGATGGGAACTACCTAATACACCGAAAGGCTGGTCTTACCTGACACAATTGTCAAAACATGTCGCTTTATATGTTTTTTAAATGTTATTGATGAGCTCTTGAGTATTCAGTATCTAAACAGCTTAGACTGAAAGTAACCGACAAAATTGTCTAGTCAACCCACTTTCTTATTAATGATTCAAATCCTGCCTATTTCATGTAAAATATTAAAACATTATCACAGCCTGACTCTAATTCTTGAGTTGATAGCCCGCTTTCTGCATGGCCTAAATTGGGTCAAACGAGGCAGGGGTAGGCCCAGAACAACATACTTAGGGAACCTAAACAAATGGGCAACAGGGAACGATCAGGGAAACGTAGCTTTTTCTTAGAGCCCCCGAGCAAAGGAATGAATGGAGAACCATGATCGCCAATGTCTGTCGCAGATCTGGCACTGGATGATGATGTAAAAAAAAGTAGAGTTGTTCCCTTATCCGATCGGGACATTGGGGATTGCCTTGTTAGTGCGATAACTTCCTAGGCCTTCGGCATTATATTGTGGTAGGGTGGCCAGTTCCTTTCCACGCCGCCCTTACTTCCCCAACTCGAAGTCAGGTACCCATTATTGCTGGGGATGAAAAAAATCCGTGTCCGAACCGAAGCTCGAACTCGGACTTTCCGCTTCGGAGACGAGCACACTAACTGCTCCGCCATCGCACCCTGGGTGGGCAGGAGGGGGCGAAAAAAATCCTTGTCCGAACCGAGGCTTTTGATGATGAGAGCGGTAAAATGAGGTCAGTGTGTGTGTACGTACCTGGTTCTGGCTGACCGTGAGAACGTCTAGCCGGGGCAGCAGGAAGATGTCCGTGGGCAGGATGCTGATCTGGTTGTCGGACACGTCAAGGTCGACCAGCTGCTTCAGGTGACGGATGTCTCGCGGGATCTGTGGGAGGAGCGATGGCGTCAGATGTCAGTAAGTTGGGTGTGAGTGGGACAATGAGGGAGTATTGTGTTTGTGGGGGAGGGGAGGGTGGAAGGGGAGAGGGGCACAGGTAATGTATCAGGGTTGAAGAGACGCAGCTCTCTTTTGGTGAGATTTCGTATTATTTGTGTAAAAGATAAAACCCTTCCCTTCAGCAAAATAGTGATTTATAAAATGTACATTTTTTGGTTGTTGTTAATATTTTACTCCACACTGAAGTTTCGCGTTTCAAATTTGCACACAACATTTAGAAGTAAAAAGGAATTTGTCTGATATTCGTTTTAGATCAATCCACAGAACAGTTTTGTTCTACAAAGCGAGTAAAAACACAACCCATTTTCAGCTATGTTCCCATATTTATAGCATGACACACTAGTTCACATTAGGTCTACCACAAAAAATCCCACTGAATGCGCCATATTGCTAACTGCAGTAGTCTAACAGGCCAACAGAAACTTGTTTATAGTTTTTCTCAGGTTTCCCTTCCCTGCTGAGATCATGATTAAGATAAGTAGAGAGTAAAAAGCTTTTTGTATTGAACTTTTCCTTGCAACCAACTCATTTCGTAAGTTTCGTACAAGGTACAGAAACAATGTTAAAGCGCCATAATGGCCTTTTTTTATGTCAAGGGTGAAAATGGTCCATCAGAGAGGACCTGTAGAGAATCAGAACAAAAAATTCCAAGACAAAACGACCACTTCAGATCAAACGCACACCGTTCGCCTCCCTTTAAAGGTCACAAAGGTGCAGAATTCAAAAGATAGGTTCTATGAGACGTCTGTCGGCAGACGATCCTACCTCTCAACGGTTCCTGTTCTCAAGGCAGATCCTTATCTACGACTGTACCATTTTCCCGTTCACGAAGCTATAACAGGGTAACAATGTGTTCATGATTCCTCGATCGTCTTGAAAAGCGTGAACATTTCCTCTTTGACATTTGGTTCCTTCGCAAAGCCCATATTCACCTTTCAGGTTATTTCAACTTCACAAATGCTGTCTATTTGGGCACCCCCCCCCCCCCCATTATCTCTAGACACAGCTCTAAACCGTTATGTGTTCACTGTATGTATGGCTCTGAGTACTCATAGTTGAGTGGATCCTTGTGTTAGGCCACCACTGAACATTACGAACGACACGTCAAGATGTGTTGAGTCCAAAGATGGACATATAGACCATTGGTTCTTGGAATTCCAGAATTAATTTTTTAACTCTGTAGGGGAAAAGAAATATCGTTTAAAGGTTACATGGATGGAAAGATTAGATTTTTAAAACTTTCCTTACAAGATCTTTTAAAATGATGCATTTTGCATTTATAGGTGGTTTGTTTTATATAAAAAGCCATTTCCGTTTTCGGAAATAAGCTTCTTCTTTCTGAATTTTATGTCAAACAAATTCCCTTTGAATGAATTATCAGTTCCAAAGTACAATATTTTAGTACAAATTTTGTGCGAGATATTTAGAAAAGAATTGTACCGTCCTTTTTGGATGTCAACTGTTTTCAAAATCAACAGATAGCTTTGCTGGTATTATGCTGGACTGTTTTCCATGTGACCTAACTTCAAATCCTCACACAAACAAAGCAATAACTCCGAAGAAAGAACACACACACACACACACACACACACACACACACACACACAAACACACGCACGCACGAACACACACACACGCACGCACACACACACA